AACATGGTGTGAGATCTTAATGGAGACACACGCTTCATGCACAGCTTACGAAACAAGGGAGTCACTCTATGAGTGAAGAATTGACGTCTACAATTAAGTCTAGCTCGGCGATTGATTACCATCAAATTTACTTTGGCTTATTCCCGAACAAAAGAAAGAATTTAAAACGGGTTCCCTCTTTTTACGCTGACTCTTCTATGGGTACGACTCAAACGTCCAAAAGTTCTCTATCTCAAGGGTGCTGCAAAGGTCGTGTTTATGTCAGATGGATGAATCAAAGTCAGGTTATGTTGTCGAACGAAATAGGTTGTTCTCCTTAAATTTGTACATCAGATGCATTTCATCTCACGATCAGGTTACTGTAAGAATGGTGTGACGTCCTGAAATGTGTTTGTAAATCTCACCACCTACTAGATGGATCAGCTTTTTTATAGATGAGCTTCGAAAAAGTCAATGAAGGAGAGGCTAGGCAGAAGCGAAAGAAGTCGCTCATCGTTTTTGTGTTCAAGTATCGAACCGACGACAGGCTCACGACCACTTCATTTCGCTGATATCGGTGAGTGATAAAAGGGTGTATTTGATAATAGCATAATGTTATTCTTCACGTAAATCACGGAGTTGAAGTTGTAAAGCTGTAAGAGTCAGTTGTGGTTCCGGGACCTTCGTTCATCATAGTTGAAGCTGTAAAGCCAGAACTTAGGCATGGGAAAAATCAGGACAAACAATTCTTACTGAGTCATCACAACTACTTTGGGAAGATGTCGCTGAGTCAGCTGCAAGGGGGGTTTCTACAGAAGGAAGTTACGGATATCAAAGGTAGAAAGGCTTTGACTGTAGTGAAACCCGCATAACAAAGCGTGATAAATCGTTGCGATACATGGATGAACAACATCCGAAAAACTCAGGATAAATACGTTTAAACATTCAGATAAGCCAGTTTTTCGACTTCCTCAATTCGCTGGAAAAACATAATCCTAGTATGCGCGTACAAAAGTCGAAAAGAAATATAGGCAAAAAGTTCAAGCAATGTGCATGGTTCACCTCATAATAGGTTCCGTTCTCAGTTTGAAAAATAGTGCCAGAAGTGTTGTATTGATCGATATCGATTGGATCGCCAGCCATACAAATAACAGTAAAATTCAGTGTGAGTGTGTTGCTTTGTGCAATTGATAGGCATAGCGTAGAAAGTAGTAGAATAATGAAACGAGTACGATTCTTGAAGACAAAATGATCTCTCGATGTGGGCGGTGGCTGATCACTTGGTCGGGTTACGGTAAACAGAGCGCTAGTTTTGTTGATGATCATTGTGATGGGAATGACAGGCCTTCCGTGGGGGCTTTTAAAGTCCCGCATGGACCGTAAAACTCTTGTCGGGATAGGTTGCCAGTTAAAATATGCCGCCATAGAGACCATCGACAGAAAGACGGAAATCGTTGAGACCGCTACGGCCATACGTCATCAAACGAGAGACCATCATATGCAAGGTTCAACGATATGCAAGGTTCAATGATAACTTCGAAGATCGCTGGTCGAGGGCGCACGCCTTGAGCGTACGATCGGTCTTCCTGAGCGCCGAGGTGTTCTAAAAATAGACGTGGATCGATATATCGATTTGAATTGATTGGCATATTAAATACTCTTACCCTCATAGTCGCAGAGTCCTTTGTTACTGTTACTTATGGCCATCAGTAAAAATGCTGTTTCCAACTAAGAGGTTTGAACTTTCAAAGTTTGACCTTGTGATTTTTCTTTTTTCCAAACACGCCATTATTATTTCGCATATTTAGCACTTCAATAAAAACCACCTGTATCATACCGTATCATCATGGAACGGAACTGTAGTTTCCTGTTGGTAAATTACAATATTGGTGGGTTTCAGTTTTTTTTTTCGAATTTTCTTTTTATCAAATCGGACTTGCTCAATGATCGATAATATAGCCCGAATTTCCTCAAGGGATCAGCTTCGCCAACATTGCCTCTGTCTCGAGGTCGTCCTTTCCCAGATGCTTTTGAAATTGATGAATGTAGCGTTTTTTTATTTGTTAGACCAGTATATTAGCATAGAGACAAGTCATAGGCATAGGCCACATGAGCTTACACCAAATGGTTTGAAGCGAAGCTTCCTCGAACCATTGGCGTTACAGTATTCAATGGAAATAATGACCCTCCACCCCTACTCTACCCCTATTCATATCCCAACAAATTCTTAAAGTTATTGTTCTACGAAATTATTGTATTTCACTGTTACTCATCAAAGTTGTTGGCGAAGTACTCCGATACGTACCCTCACATCTGTCAAACACTAACGAATTTTTGATCGCTTGCGTTTGTGTAGGCTTCAAGAAAACTGCGTAGTAGAGTCGTTCGATGTAACTGCGCTCTATACGAAAGTAAACAACAATGAAGCTCTCCAAGCGGTTTCCGAAATGCTGGATGAGCATGAAACGGATCGTTCGGACTGAGCAAGGTTCACATAATGGCTCTGATCAAGGAATGCCTAAGTGCAATATCTTCAAGTGGAGCGGGCAATACTCTCTCGAATTCGAGTGCTTGCTGTGGGTCAGTGGCTAGCACCGGTCTCAGCTATCTGCTTCATGAGCAGAGTAGAAAGGCACGTATGCCCATTATGTACTTTCATTACATCGATAACTGGCCTCTTTGTCTTGTTACGCCGATAAAAATCTCAAGTGGAAGGTACAATGTGAAGTGATATCGGAAGGGCAGCTTGAAGAACATTCTACTCCATTCGAAGTCTGCTCATCCTGAAGATGTGAAATGTACAGTAGTTCGTAGCATGTACAGAACAGCTATAGGAGTGTGTACAGGCGAAGTGAAACAGGAGGAATCACGTAGGCTCGCATCTGAGATTGCTATGGGACAAAGTGAAGAAAGTCAGGCTCAAAAGGGTACTCGCTGAGGAATCATGAGTACGTAGTACATGAAACCTAGAGCAATGCAATCTTCTAGCCCCCATACCGCTCATATCTGGGCCGTTCTTTGAACAGTCAGCGCCACTTATGTGTAGTAAAGTACTTCCTTAATTATACTGCGTTGTCCGATTCGCCAATTTTTGTCTCATCTTTGAGTGAAAATTCCTAGAAGAAGAAACCCGTTGATTGAACGATATTCACCATTCTGTTCAGTAAGGAATCGTCAACTTCCCATGATTTTCAGTATCTCACTTTCATAGAAGGTTCCAGACTTAAAATCGAAAAACCCTTTTAGGTGCTTTCTGCAGTCCTCCAGCAGATTGAACGATTTTTCATTAAAAGAATTCTGCAGAAACGCTATGTCCGCACTATATGGGGGGTGTGACAAGACATCTCTTTCAAGCTCCAGCAATTTTTGACGAGTGCCCAGAAATACGTGTGGTCTGGAGGTATCGTGTTGGAAGACAACGCCCTCACGATTGGCCACTTCGGGTCGCTTCTGGTCTACAGCTGCCTCCAAATCGTCAAGCTGGGTATAGTACCTTTCAAAAGTTATCGTTTGATTATGCGACAACAGCTCATGGTAAGTGATTTCCCTGAAATCCCATCAGCAACTCGGCATAGTCATCCGCACCTAGATTTTGACTTCTGCAGCGGTTTGTGACGGCTCACTAGGAGGCTCCACGATCGCTTCCGCTTCTCATTGCTGTGCACAATCCAATTTTCGTCCTTCGTGCTCATGCGTTTCAGAAACGGCTCATTTTTATTTCGTTTGAGCAACGAGTCGCACATGGAAGCGTGGTCCATCGCATTGCGCTCGCTCCTGTCGCGAGATATCTGAACACCAATTCGCTTTACAAAACCAAGTGTCTGCAGATGACCATGAATGTTTAACTCCGAAGCACTAAGCCCTTGTCCTACTCAACGAGTAGTTATGTGCTGATTCGCTTCGGTTCTCATTCTGATTTAGTCGTTTCAACTGATGATAGTCTCCCTGAAGAATGCCGGTCTTCGAAGGTAAATTCACTCTGATTGGATTTCGCAAACTAGTCATGCACTGTACGTTCCTCTAGAGCATGGTCTACTCAAATATATCTCCATATCATATATCTTCCATGCGGCTTGAGCCGCATTCTGGGCCTTGCGGTAGAAGAAATACTTCAGATGTCAAAAATGCGCACAGTGGTTCTCCATTTTCATACGAATCCTGTACATACAAACTCCGACAAGTGTTGAAAGAATTCTACCAGGAATACAGTGGAAGACCTACTCTTTCAGAAAACATATAACTTTATGATGTTGGACCCTTCATCTTTTGTACAACAGTTGACAAATCCGAGGCGTCGAAAATCGGCGGGAACTTTTCGGACAACCCAATACAATGTGAAGTGGTATCGGAAGGGCAGCTCGAAGAACATTCTACTTCATTCCAAGTCTGCTCATCCTGAAGGTGTGAAACGTACAGTAGTTCGTAACATGTACAGAACAGCTATAGGAGTGTGTATAGGCGAAGTGGAACGGGAAGAGTCGCGTAAGCTAGCATCTGGGATTGCAAACCTGAATGGCTATGAGACAAAGTAGAGAAAGTCAGGCTTAAAAGGGTACTCACTGAGGAATCACGAGAACGTAGTACAAGAGCCTAGATCCAATGCAATCTTCGAGCCCTCATAACGCCCTATCTGGGCCGTTCTTTGAACTGTCAGCGACACTTATGTGTAGTAAAGTAATATATATCCCTTTATTATAAAACTATGGAAGGCTACAGATTAGCACTAACACTCAAGTGTTATCTCCGATATCATTTTTTCGTGAACTAAGCTTTTATACACACGACTTTAAAAATTACGAGCTTTATTCATTGTTAAAAATTTATGAATTCATCACAGCTGAAAAACGGATAGCTGAGGGAACATTCGAGAAGAAGATAGATATTGATACATGGGGGACAACACAAAAGATAAAATAATTATTCACATGAGGCACAACAATAATAACAATATATTATAAAACCTACCGATGTAGAAATATGAATTTGACGTAGAAATGACCAAGATTCCTTTTATTATGCTAATTATTGTCTTATAATTATTGAGCCCACAATTAACAGAGCTGTTATATTCGAAAAACAAAGAAGTACTAGAGAGAATTCGAAGTAGCATGGCTGAGGTCGCACTGTCTATGTTTCAAGTAAACTGGACTAAATGTAAGTACCGGGATTCCCCCGGTCGCAGGCACGCGCGCGGTAGTAGTTTCGCGGTTACCGGGGTTCCCACGGTCACAGGCACGCGCGCGGCAGTAGTTTCGCGGTAATTACCGTAATTACCCACTGCTGATTTGATACTCATCCTTACCCTGCTTGTTCCAATACGCAGGATCGTACCCTTCGCGTAAAAAAACCTCTTACCCATGAGGAGGAGATGTAAGAAGTCTGCAAAACCAAAAAGCCCCTTAGGGTAAAAAACTTAGGAGTTAAACTGATACGGTCAATAACAGGAACAAGGTAGATCGACAATCGGAAAACGGAAGGCCACAAGCTTAATAAATTATTTGGTTTTAGGACCTAACCTCCTAATCCGGTCAAGGGCCTAGATTTCTGATATAGTTTATCCGTAATAATAGCCGTAATCACATCGCTAGAGCGGTTCGATCAATAAGCATCTTTTGTACAACGTTCCATTAATATGAAGCGGAGTTTTCAGAGAGCACCGTTATTCGGACATCGATGGGGTGATAATTTTGCGGTCAATCATTCGGGGTGGCCGGACGGGTTTAGTTTCAAGATAATCCTCTAAAGAGCAAGAACTGTTCTTAGTAGGGGGTGGATTCCACCCTTTGGGTGGGAGAATCGACGATCGATACCCATTGCAACCGGTGATGGGTGGCAATGATTTGCTGCCATTGCGATTGCCTCGGCACGTGTCACATCGTTCCAGAGCAATTGTTTGAACAGAGATGGAAAACTGTAAAAGCTACAGTAACCTGCGCCAAGAATGTATGCTCTACAGTAACCTGAGCTAAAAGTGTGCTATCTGGTTCAGCCACTGAGAATGGGTTTGAGCTTACCTTGTCATTCAGGCGCATAGAGAATCGGTCATCTCGAGGATGTGACCTAGGCGGTAGAGTAAGCACAGGTGCAACTTTAGCCCCATACCCGAACTTTGTTAGTTCGGATGGTTCATCTTCCCCGAACACCATGAAATAGCAGATACTGGCGGTCATCAGGATACCGTACACTATCCATACATACCTTAATACAGTACGCAATTAACCGTACTCGTACTGTGCACGAGTTTCAAAACTCTAGAAAACCCACTTCCACTCATCCCAAGTATCATTGCGAACGAAAATGTTCACCACAACGGGTGCCAGCAAAGCTGCCAGGCAATTGAGAACGAAATATAAACTCATTACCGATTGATTGTGTTGCCTGAACATATTACTTTTAAAATGAAAATGCCCTTGGAAGTCGCAGTTAGTCATACACGTGATTTGGGGATTCCCCATTGACAAGAATCCGTTAGGTAGAGGCGACTTGGAGCGTAATTGGGACGAAAGGCAGCCCAGGTAGTAAAGTGGGCATGTTTGGCGCCATTGCAGAGGCGATATCATTTGAAATGGAGCACGTTTGTTGATGCAGTCAGCTGATAGAGGCCAGTAGCTAAAACGCATCGCTCTGCAACGACTGAAAACTGAAAACCCAAGTATCCATTCCTACTACATCACCACGCCAAGCCTCAGAAACGAACTATTTCTCGATGAACTACTCTGCATCAACACTTGGTTTTTTTCGGTTTTTTGTCTTCAAAACGATACCCAAAGTTATCGCCTACCGTACCTTCAAAAGTCATGCCATTCATTATAATGAAGTCCTTCGATATTTTTGTTGGAATAATTATAGGTTCCACTTACGCAGCAATGATAGCCGAACTGCGGAAGAAGGTGCCACTGTTCAAGCCAATTATAGCAGTGCAAATAATGAGTACCACCCAAGCAAGTGTTGGCACTGACCTGAAAAAAATGGTATCCATGGTATCAGTGGCCGACAGAGTAAAATCACTTGTCATCCGCAACGAGCCGGAAGGAAGACACTGTATAGGCTGACAGGGAAAGATTCAGTGGTCTTCAAAAGAACTGGAGCGCGAAATTCTGTCCGATTTTTGAGCATGGTCATTTGGAATACCGAACAGTGGCGAGACAACTAGCTAGAAATCGCCGCGCGCACTGTGAGCGTGACTTTTTCCATTTTCATTCGGAATAGTTAGAGTGATATTATATTTTTTTGTGGTAATCGGTAACTTACGTTGGTAAAAAGGCGAGAACGAAGAATGTTGTTCCCATGCCACCGATAGCTATGAGGTTGAAAATTTTTGCAGGAATATCCGGTCGAAAACGGTTGGCTTTTTCGTTGAGAAACACGGTGGACATCTTCACCACAAATAGCGCTACCTGAATGGGAGAATTCGGCGAGATGAGTGATTAATTCAGAAGAATCTCTCGAACCCTATAGGGCCCAAGGTAAATTCAAGGGGTTTTTTTCCGCGATACAAAGCCCAGCCCAATGACACAAAACATCAAGGAAAAAGTTGAAAGCAGGAAAAACTAAGGGTAGAGAAGTTTCTCGAGAGGTTTCTTTAGCGATTAGTTTCGAGAAATTTGGGCGTTTTAGACTTATCAAGAGTACCGTAAACATATAAATAAGTAAACAAGCGACCAAATTAAAGTCGGATAGTAGACAATTATAATCTATAAAATGGAGGTTTTAGGACAGTAAGTACAGTAACCCTATGCACATACCTGAGGTATGGCGCTGAACAGGCCAGTCTGATACACTGAGAATCCCATAACCTAAAGCACTGGTGTCAATCGATAAATCGATTTATACGTGTTTGTTGTAAAGCTTTATAAGTATCAGTACCCTGTTGAGATATATAGGTGAGAATTGCATTGTGATTTGAATGCCCATAAAAATAGCCACAGCCATGATCCATTCGGCAATGATAGCTTTTGAAGCGATAAGAGCCTGAATTCGTTGTTTTGTCATCGATTGGCAAAAAATCAACTATCGATCGATCAATGATCCAAAAGCCTATTTCTTAAGGTCTCTTGGGTGCAGGATCAACAAACTAACGGAAAGCAAATAGCAGTCAATATTGATTCGCGAGGATATTGATCAATTCTATTGATTTTCCGATTGCTAACATACCTTTAAGGGCAATGGTTTCCTTTTGTTGAAGTTTTCTTTACCACGATTGATACGATTCAATTCTTTAGTAGATACAAATGCATGCATATCAGGATGTTCTCTGAAAGCAGAGTAACTTTTTTAACTATTGATCGATTTATCGATTGGTAAGAATATTGAAAGGATCTTCACCTATAGAAATAGAAAAACAACAAAAACAAAATGCAGGTAATCACGGCATGAAGATAATAAACAGATGACCATCCAAGTGATGACGTACACAGCGCTCCGGCTACAGGCATTGTAAATATGGGGCCGATCTGTAAAAATCAATAAATGTCCCATAAATCAACGACTGATCAATAATCGCGCATTAATTTTTGCAAAGGCTTCGTTCATTGAAATACCTTCATCCAATCATTATATAAAAATATAATATTGGGATGTACGAAAAGTTCCCGCCGATTTTTGATTCATCTATGAATGAAAATTCCTAGAAGAAGAAATCCGTTGGTTGAACAATATATCCTCCTTTCTGTTTAGTAAGAATTCGCCATCTTTCTGTAGGTTCCAGTTGCCCTCTTCCATAAAAGTTTCCAGACTTAAAATCGAAAAACCCTCTCAGTCTTTTTGCAGTCCTTCAGTA